CCAAAACCAGGCTGATGCCTACTCAAATACTCAGGGCATAAGCCGTCCTCTCCTCCTTGCATTTCTGAGCAACTTGCTAGTTACTTTCTGAGACAAGGATGTGCTTCTGAGCTTTAGAGGTATGCTACAGTAGATCTATCTGCCTTCTCAGAAAGTTTTACCTATTGCCATACTGTATAAACAACAAATACACAGCGGTGTGACTAGGCTGGCATCTACAGTTCATATAACTAGAAAGTTTATCACAGTAGAAAGGGATAATTGAAAATAAATGAAATGTTCACCCATGTCCTAGGCTTGCAAGAAAACTTCGAAGGGAGCAATCTCTAGAAAAAGAACCCTCCCTCTCACAGTCAGCCCTTAAATGAGGTCTGAGAGGTGCAGCCAGGCTCCACCCCTTCCAGTCACCCAGCTGAATTGCCTTCACCTGTGCTCCCTGGGCTGACTCAATGCTTGCCTCAGACAATCAATCAGAGGTTCAGGCTGTGATTTAGCAGTTCCCACATACCATACTGTGAGGATTAGTCTTATCAAATACACCAAAGAAATCAATTTGAGGCTACAGTCTTATTCCATATCAAATACATTTAGGATGCTATAACATAAAGGTTTCATCAGGTTACTGTCCGTGTTGAAGTTCTCCAGAGTGCTTCAGCTGTGTTTGCCATCATTTGATTGAGAGCTTTGTGTTCAGGATGCTATGGTTTTAAGTTAGATCTGTCACTTGAAAATCATTCTGTCTTCAAGTTCTGTGTATCATTAGCTATTCTTCCTAAAAAGCCTTTTAAGTTTTTCCTCTCTTAGTGCTTTGGGAGGCCATTCTCTGACAGTTGACTACAAAAGTGCTCTGTGTTTGAGGTATTATAAACTCATAAACAACACTGAATTGACTATGTCTGTTTAAATTGATCTTCACAGACTAGTGATGAATATTTAAGTACACTGTATCTGGTTTGCACAGTAGGTGCCCTCTGACAGTTATGCTAGTCAGACTTGTGTAAAAGCTTGTGTAAAAGCTGGTAAAAGAAGGGAAGGTGCAGAAGTGCCATGCTGTCTAGTTAGCATCTGTCAGCCATGCTCTTTAACCCTGTGAGCTGGAGTTCTTGCTATTATGCTCATCCATTTTTATCTTAATCACAAGGTATGTCCAAAGATAAAATCAATGAGGCAGTCTAATTTAGTCTTTTTCCCCATAATATTGTGTGCTCTGCAAAGAACACTGGACCAAATGGATATCTTTTTATTGTAATACAATTTCACAACTCATTTCTTTGCCAATTGTCTAAGTGTCAATAAAATAGCAACAATAAGATATGTGAAAATTAGGAATGACTCACAACATGATCAATTTGAAATAAAAAAGTTAAGTAGGATTCTGTTTTACCTGTGTCAAATGTGAATGTAGTTTCAGGTTGTTAGCCTTGATAGTTTTTTGAATGTCATTATCTTTTACTTTGTCATATTCTTTGTGATTCTGAAAAACTAAAATGACTTTGTGTTAATTACATATAACAGGTAGCCTGATTTCTGTAAGACACATTTTTGATCATACATATAGGATCAGAATATTTACTTCTAGGTCAAGGAAATAGGTAATAGAAAAGTCTTGAGAGCATTTTTCCATTAATCAGTCATTTACATACATTTACATATCTCATTTACAACATCATAGCTTAAAAAAAAGACTGAATATAACATTTAAGTTGTGCTTCATACACACAGCATTGCATAAGTTTTTTGTGGTGACTTGGAATTTTTTTGGTCAGAAACAGCTAGGACATGTACCAAGAACAGAATCCCGGAATGTTTGTGCCTAAGTCATAGGAAACAGCCACTTCATGAGTAATCTCTTAATTCAGACTTTTGTAAGGGAATCTCATGTTTATCTCATATTTCAGCAGTTAAAAATAAATAACAGAGATCCTTTGTTTCTACCAAGTTTTATCCCACCAGTATGCCTCTGAGTTCCTGGTGAGGAAACGTCGAGCAAATTCTTTTATGGAAGAAAGTAAGAAGGGAAATTTAGAAAGAGAGTGTGTTGAAGAATTATGCAACAAGGAAGAAGCCAGAGAAATCTTTGAAAATAATCCTGAAACTGTAAGTATGTGAGGAATATCTGTGAGATAAATAGTAGTTCTTTGCAGTGGGATTCTAGAAGTACATTGAATTCACGTTGCAAAGCTTAAAAAAAACCTCTCAAACATTGCAGACCAAGAACTGGGCTGAAAGTCTCCTGCGTATAGAATCAATTAATATTAAACAACATATAAGCAAAGAGAATAGTTGAGTAGATATTATTTTGATTTTAGGTATGGATCACCAGTTTTAGACCACAGTTGTCTGCGAGCATTCCATGTGGGGAAAGCCTGTTAGCTTCAATTAAAATTTTACACAGAGAACGCATGGCAGTGCAACTGTTTTAATGAAGGGATTGAACTATGAGCTTTTTTCCTAGTGGAGATAACTGTTCCTCAGCTCATTCCCACCACACAGTATTTAGCATTAGGAATACTGTAGTCAGCTTCATCCTGTAAAGGGGTCATTATGTACAGAAAATGTGATTAAGATGAATTCTTGTTTTGCAAGCCATATATTAGTTCTACGTTCTGTCTTTGATAACACTGCATATATTTGGAGATACTGTTTGTTGATATTTAAGTAAAAAAAATTAAATTGCTTCAGTAATCAGTTGTTTATTTAAAAAAAAAAAAATCTAGTTTAATAAAGACTTCACTTTATTTGGAATGAAGTTCCTGTAAAATATTCAACCTATTCCATGTTGTTGTGTTTCGGGGGTTTTTGTTTGTGTTTTGTTGTTGTATTTACTTTTTTTATTTCCCTTCTTTATCTGAAGATAAAAAAAGGAAGCTTCTCTGTCTCTAGTAAAAATATTGGGCAAGATCCTCCTATTGTAAGAAAAAAATTTTCAGATTTTCAATTTGACCTCCATTTTATTATCACATCCAATTCACTGTCATTGCCTTCACTTCAAAATTGTCAAATTCAGTGCAGAATCTTAACCTTCTCTCCACTGAGTCCTTTGTTACAAAATTATCTGCTATCTTACCCTAAATAATAGAATACATGCAAAGTTTTATATGTATCATTAAGAATCCAAGTGATTTTCTTTTTTGCTTCTTTTATAGTCATAAGACAAATATATTTTGAACATTTTCAGTGTGTTTTGCTGTAATTCTGTCTACCTTCAGTTTTTCTTACCCTTGGTTTTTCTTTTCTTTGTGCAGGAGTATTTTTACCCCAAGTATTTAAGTAAGTACAAGAAACCTGAGCAACTCTAGTGTGTCATTCACTACCCTTGCTATTTGGATAATGTTAGTTTTGTTATTCTGCTCACAGCACTAAAAGATTTGCATGCTTATTATAATGCATAGTAGCTCTTTGGCAGTTTGATGTGCTTAGATCCCAGCAAAGGCACTAAGAAGGTTGGTCTGTGATCAGCTGTCTTTAATATGCCCAGACAAGTTTTCTAACTTGTTTCAAACTGTGAGAAGAGAGTCTTTGAAGATGCCATGTATAAGCTGTCGTAATTTCAGTCTAAATGAGTGTTTGTATTCTATGTGTGGATTTGCATTTGCAGGCTGCCTTGCCTCCTATCGAGCAGGAGTTTTCAGGGTTACTGCAGTGACTCCAGATTCTCCAGCTGATCTGAGGGCATGTGTCAATGGTAAGTGCTGCTGCTGGATGCTTTACCTACTGCACTCACACTGGAACGCATAAACGTGCATGTCTAGGAAACAGTTGTTCTTGGCAGAAAAATACACAAATCTCTATTTAACTCCAGCAAACAATTATCTGGGAAAAGAAATTGACAAGAAATTTAGGTGAGAGCATTTGCAGAGTAAGTGACTGTTTTTAATTTTTACAAAGCATAGCAGAAAAGAATCAAACTGCAAAGTGGAAGGCAGACTTTCCAGAAGCATAGAAGCGTGTGCTGTGTCAGCTCACCAACATTCCCTAGTATGGCCTCAGTACTCTGCCTTATCTTTAGTAACTGTACTTGACTCAGCCCTTCCAGCAGATCCTGTTTAGTGAATTGAGCAAAGAGGCCACCTGGCAAATTTGCCTTTATACTACTCTTTGGCCCATGGTTACACTGTAGCCCTTGTTGAAGGGTATAATGCCACCAACTGAAAAATTCAAACGTAAGCTGGATCTAGATATTTACTTCAGATATAGGAAGGCCACAAAGTAAAGAGTTTGTGATGCTGCTCCAATGTGTAGTTTTCTATGCCCATACATTCATAATGCCAGTGTGAACTGTATTTTTTCTAGTAAATTCACAGGAAACATCTGTAGCTCATTCCCAACTCGTCAATGTAGAAATATCTCTCTGAATTTATTAAACTTTTACAGCCTAGATGCATCAGAGAAATTTTCTTATTCTTGATCATCTGTCCCTGTTTTTGTCACGGAAAGCAAAAGAAGGTGAGAAAAATCCTTAATAATGACAGTATACATGGTCATGGATGAACATATTTTCCAGATCACGTAGCCAACGTGCCTGCTGTCATAAACTAAAATGTACTCCCATTGATGTCACACTTTCTCACTCATTAGAGGTTCTGGGAGGAAAGAATTCAGCGGAGTTGTGTGAGTGCACAGTGTTTCTGTATTATCCCATGAAACCAACTAGTTAACTTGTTATTGTATTTCTCCATTTGGATTCATAATATTGAAGAAAAACGTGTTACTGCTGTTGGTCAGTCAATGGGAGAAAGGACAAGTTAAGAGAGTTAGCATAACCTTTGCAAGTGGTTCAAAGGCTTGACTATTCAAAGGACTTTATGCAGAGCATTTCTGAAAAGGAAATACTGCTGAGAAAACAGAATAATTAATTCCCATTAAGACTATGACATTTTTAAAAAAAATGTATTTTCATTGACTCATGCATCTTATGATACTGAATTTCATGCATTTTTTCATTTTAAAAGTTTTGTGTTTATTTATTTAATTATCCAAATTGTTTTGATAGTGTCAAAATGAAAAATCCAATTTTCCTAATCAGAAAAAAATTAATTATAACAGTTACTTTAGAACAATATAGTAACTAGTGTGAATCTCAAGATAGGAAATAAAGAATAAAAACAACAATGCAAACAATTTTAAAGTAATTTGAAGTTGCTAAACATCTGTATCACATAGTTGCATACTTAACTGCTTTTGAAAATAAAGGCTTAAAAAACCCCAATGTTTACACTTATCCTGCTCACCGTGGTGCATCTTCTGGATACCAAAGACTTAAAGTGGGAGAGGATAGAGGTACCAGCATGTTTCTTGCCACCTATCTTTTCAATGAAGGCTGAGTACATCCAGTTCAACTTTTTTCTTCCCATTTATTTACTTAATTCATCTTATTCCATCTATGTATATTTTGCACTGACAACATAACCCATCTTCTGTAAGATCAGACTCACTCACATGCCATCATCACTTTCTGCTCAGAAACATTCATACTCAATTTTTTTCTGCAGTTGCACACTTCAAGGGTACCTTCCACATCCGTCATTTATAAAACTCTTTGCTTGTTCCAAACCTGGTTCACACACTTGTTCCTTGAACTACAAAAGCAGAAATTAGCAAGCAAGAGAAAAAAAATGTAGGGAGTTATACAACTTTTTTTTTACCACAGGAAACTGCTGTGACAGTCATGTATCAGCCCCATTCCTTTTATTTCTTCTTTGCAATTTCTTCTGCCAATCTTACCTGAAACTGGAGGTTTCCTTTGGTCCACGACATGAGTATTAAGTGCTATAGAGTAGCTATTCTAGAGATGTTGTATGGTTTTGGACCTTGTCTGGCCTCTGAGGTTTGGGATTTGCTTGCAGCAGAATTTAAATATTAAGTAAATTTAATTGACAAATATACTAACAGTTTTTTTTAAACTGTCTTACAGAACTTTAAACTTACTCTTTGGTGGGCCTCAACATAAAGAAATTCAGTGAGGTCTCTGGCACAGAATCACAGCAAGTTTCATTCTGCAAGATTACTTGCCTTTCCAGCCACTTTTTTTTTTTTTTTTTTCAATCTGAGCATCCCAAAATCCTGTCTTCATTCTACCTGTTCTTTTATAATATCCTTTTTCATATTTATTTTCTTTTTAGAAAACATGAAATAACATCCTAAAATATGTACAAAAACATATTTTTTAAGAAGAAACAGTGTATTTGTGACTTCTGTGGGTTTAGTGATAAATAATCCATAAGAGTACTGACAGACTTAAGAGAAATAAATATAAGGACACTTTACATATTATGCTGATAAAAATTAAGAAAATCATGGAAAAAAATTTGAAGCATTTATGTATTTTGGGCATAGCAAAAAGACAGTGAGCCTTGTGTTCTCTGTCCCAACTATGTATTTTGAGCCTTGCCTCTTGCAGTCTTGCCAGCATACATAAAGAATCTTCAGTTGATTTTTCCAATCTATTTTTTTTTTTCCATTGAAGTTAATATTTGTGACAGGTGACAGTATTAAACCTTATGTATCCAGTCTACATACAAGGCTTGGGCAGCCGAAACAAACTCTATGAACACATAGCTATAAGTCTCTCTATGAACACAATGCAGTTTCTTGAACAGAGAAACTGAGCCCTTGAATTTTATTCTGGGGTACTTGTTGAAAATTAGGAATTTCTACAGAAATTTGTGTCAATGTAATGAGACAGAGCATTGTTCTTTAAAGGGTTAAATATGTCACTAATACTTAAAAAAATAGTGTCAAGACTTTGGTCACAATCCGCAAGGATTATTGTGTTTTAGTGAATCACTTGTTTTCTAGTTGTTTTCTGTCTGATGAAGAATACTGGTGGCTTTAGATTTTTATCACTTGCAGATTCTGGCTGACAGAATTAATAACAAGAGTTTTGTGTCAATATCTGATCTTATTCATCAAGCCTCTCCCTATTTTATGAAAGGTAAAAGGTAGCTGTGGAAGACGAAAGGAAAGATTAGGCTGATCCTTGAGAGAAATATCCTCAAATAACATGTACTTCTAATGTTTTCATCCTGCAGAAATTTCAAACCAGTGTAGCCCTCTGCCATGCCATAGAGATGGATATAAGGATTGCATAGATGGACAAGCCAGATATACATGCATCTGTAAACCAGGATGGCAAGGAGAGAATTGTGAAGAAGGTATAATCTTTAAGTCATTACAATTTTAGTTCTTAGGAATATGGTTATGGTTCTACTAGTGCTGAATAGTATCAGATCTTGAAGTATACCTACATGCACGCTGTTGTCTGTGGTTGCTTTTCCCTGAGCAATGATTTTTATTTTGTTTTCGTTCTAGATATAAATGAATGTGAAGACTTCAATGGAGGTTGTAGCCAACGCTGTTCTAATTTGCCTGGAAGCTACCGTTGTTTATGTGAGGATGGCTACTTCATGCATTCAAATAAACGAGATTGCAGAGGTAGGAAATAGGGCTTAAGGAGAGTGTCACTACATAACAATCCATTGCTTATTATCTATTGACTACAGGGGAAAGAATTTAGCCAAGTAGTTCCATAAATGCTCTAAATCAGCAGAAGCTTGCATTGCCACTGGAAGATGCAGGCCTACTTCAACCAGGCTGCTCATCCTACTTCCTACCTTACACTGCTATAAAAGAACATTCGGACAACTGTTTAGTGAACAAGATCAAGGAAAGAAGATGTTGAACCAACTAAGGTTCAAAGAAAGTTTTAGTCACTAACCAGTTTCATATCTCCTTTAAGCTTGTTGAAACAGAAACCTAAAGTGTTGCAACCAGCTAACATTGTTATCATGCAATTCCTATCTGGCAAACATTGGCTTAGGCTGAGTCACTCCAAATTTGCTGTCTTCTTTTGGGAGTTTGTATGTTCATTAGAGAATAAACTGTTAATGAAACTGAAAATGCTGTACATGAAGAGAAATATTTGTCTTTCACTCACCCAGCATATTTTTTTCCCCATACATGGATAGTGGTTGTCAATTTATTATTGACCATGACCTATGCATTTCATTCCACTCCAGATGAAGTCTATATATTAAAATAATTCTCAAATCTTACTTCAAAAAAAAAAAAAAAAAAAAGCAACCTCATTTCATTTTCATATCACATATTTTATTTCTGAACCACGCCAACCATTTCAGATAATGTTAAATAATTCAAGAGGCCAGACCTAAGGGTTGTCTGCCACTGTTTCTGCTTTTAGTGTAAATATATTTGAGAGTTAGTAATGCATCTGCAAATACCAGAAAAAAAAAAAAAAAAATTCTGTTATATCAAGTAGGGAAGACAGGTAAGCTACTTAGAATCTCTGCAGTTCTTGGAATGATGTTGAAAAAATCTTTTAAAACATGTATTGGAGCTAAAAATATATGAACATGCTTTAACAATTTGTATCAATGACGTAACTGACTCTTTGCAAAGGTTTTATCGTAACACAATGCTTGGCTTAAAAAGAACAAGTTATTTTTAGTTATCTGACACTGGAATCAATGAGTAGCAAAGTAAAATAACCAAGCAACTAAAAGAAAAAAATCTCAAAAAAGATTTCTTACTGAAGATTATTATTAGACTGAGATATTTCTTCTGGAGTTCTACTCTATCTTCAGTAGTGATGTAAGTACCGATCTGGGTGTTGATCATTCAAAGACTGTCAGATTGAAAAATAACTTGAAAACTAATCAGACTACTAGTTAGGTCATTTAAAAACTGGATTTAAGTGTTTAATTACATCCATCTTCAAAATTATACACCAAGGAATTTAAAATGCACAAGATAACTCTCAAAAAGTAGCCTGTATTTTGGACAGCTATGACTTCAAAATGTTCTGAATCCTCCCAGGCAGGTAACAGAATCAGTTCTCCCCAGTGCAGCTACTACAAAACCATGGGGAAAACTAGAAGGATCCTTGCACATGCAGGTGGGAATTAAAATGCTACCAGGGATTGGATATTTTTCTATCTACAAGACATGTAGTTAGATTTATACTATATGTTGTGTCCAGTTGTCACACTGACATTGAAAAATAGGAAACAACACAGAAGATAAACACTGAAATGATTTGAGGGATGAAGAGACAGGGAGCAACTTGAAAATCTGTCAGCATAATTAAAAGAAGATTGTGACGTGTCAGAAATGGATAGGATTATTTCTTGTCTTTCTGGATGTTTTATAAAAGATGGGGTATTATTATGCAGTGTAACTTAGTTTATAGGAAATCCACAGACTATTTCTCTTACTGCATTCTTAGATATGTTTCTCTTTTCCTGTTTTCCACTAGACATGTGAGAAGAGTTTAAAGGTAGACAGGCAGAGAATTCATTTTTCACTGAGAGTATGTAGAAATTGCCTTTCAGGGACCTCTGGAAGTCTTTACTGCTATAGTTATGGACTGCTATAAAAGCACAGAAAACCTAACTAGCAAGAGACAGTTTGCCAGCCTCACCGAGTTCTTACAGTTTTGGACTAAGTTAAGAAAAAATGATATGCAGAAGAGTGACTTATTTTTAATAACTTGTTTGTATTTCTAGATATAAATGAATGTGCATTACATCCAAACATCTGTGGGACAGCTGTCTGTAAGAATACCTTGGGTAAATATGAATGTGAATGTGCAGAAGGCTACACATATAATTCAACTTCCAAGAACTGTGAAGGTAGGACTTCCCTTCCTCCCTCTCCTTCCCTCTCATATTCCCCCATTTCTTTCCATTTTTGAATCTACTGCTATACAAATCCCAGTATCTCTTATATGATATATTGATTACTCTGGAGTTATTCACTTGTTTGTTCTTTCAGGGGTCCAAGCTATACTGCAGGCATTGTGCACAATTTCAATGACTTGCTCTGGAATCTTAGGGTATCCAGCATATTCTTGTGCGTTCTCCTGTAATGCCAGATGATTTTGTCAGCTCATGAGACATTACATGTCCCACTGTAAAAAGGACTTTCTGTCCAAGCTCTCAAACCAAGTAACAGGTTTCTTCTGGATAACTTGGAGCAATGCATTTAGGATCTGGACATTACTAGGGTGTCTTGTATCCTGTTTCTAAGCACCATTATAGTTGTGAAGAAGGAATATTTCACATTTGTCAGTTTAATATATGCGTCTAACTTGAGAGAGGTTATAGGAAAAGCAATTAAAAGTACTCATTCGTCAGTTCCTTACCAGTTGAGACAGAAATATTTGAAAGAATAAATAAAAAGAAATGAAAACAAAGCTTAATCTGTTGGTGCCAAAATGCTAAAAAGTTTTTCTTTATCTGTCTAATAGGTTGTTTAGTTTTATTTAGCCCTCCTGGCCAGGGACTGAGTCTCTTTTTATATGTCTTTAAATTTAAATTACATTAAAGAGCTTTTTGCTGGGGTCAGTGAAATTTAACATTAAATTCAACTGTCTAATCCCTCCTTGAGGTCTGTAGTTATGTTGAAAACTAACAGCATAAGAGTGAATTGATCTCCTTTGTAGGCTGGATGTGACAATATGACAGTTGTATAAAATACCCAATATTTAAAATGAAAAATACTTTTCTACGTCCAGAAAAAGAATTGTGGGGGAAAAAAAGGACCTGCATCAAGAGACTCT